AGGGGAAGGGCTGAGTGTGAAGAGCTGTCCTGGCAGCAGGGCACAGGCAAAACCTGAGCAGTTCTAAAGCACCAGCAGCTCCTGGGCAGTTTGGTAGCAAACCTGGTCCTCCACCAACTGACTTGTGGTAGTTTGAGAAGGAAGAGGGAAGTATGCAAGTAATAAAATTGATTAAACATCAGATCACAGCTTTAAATCCATTTCAGCGTGTTTTTGTTCTCCTGCCTTTATAGATAAGCATTTTATGAGCATGGATTTCCAATTAGATATGTTACCCATAATGACAAAGGGAAACGGAGACAGAAAACAATAAAGCTTTTTTTCTGAAAGGTTACATTCAAACTGTCTGACATCTTTACAGATCCATATGGCTTCTTAAATGTGCAGTGTTACACGGCCCCAGAAAAACATCCAAACTGCACACACTGCAAGCCCTGCATAAACACTGTGGGTTTCTCCACGTTGCCAAAGATTTGCTTTTGTTTAGAACAGCAAAGAACTGTCCAATGCTTTTATTACTTTGCTGACTGCTCTGCAGCACCTACCAACCTCTCCTATCAGCGTGGTAATTATGGAAGATGCTTTTTGTATTACATGATTTATTTAAAGCCTGTTCAATCTCAATTTATGAAATCCAGATTGTGAAGCATCACCTAACAATTTATTCTTCTCCTCAGCATCTTTGGTCACTAATAGCAATTCTGCAGTACCCTGTGCCAAATAAATACACTTTAATACCTTAATGAAGCATTTAAGAAGCTGCTTACAAAGATTTAATACATAGTAGCATCTCTGCAGTTAAAAGTCAAATATAATTTCCATTTTAACCTCTGTCTTCACATGGACAAAACCAAAACGATACATTGTATATGCTGGGGTTAAAATTTGGATTCTAGCTTTTTGCTTCTTTCTTAAAGCTAATTATTTTTCCCAACTTTGAGAAGATTTGGCCATGCTTATACATTTTCCCCCCCTCCCCTAAACAACAAAAACACAGTTTTAGTGCTTTCAGATGTTGAGATCTTTTATGCTAGTTAAAGACACTAATTTGAGTAGAAAGAACCAGCCATCAGCCAAAGTCCAGTCTTTTGAAGATTATACAGCTACGTGACAATTTCTGGCAGTTGGCCGTGGAAAAGTCAGGATCTGTTGGTGTCTTATATCCTGCCTCATTTTTCACATAAATGTGTGACATACATCTGGCTCTAGGAGAAATGTCAGTTCATCTTTTAGGCCCACCAGTTTTGCCTGTTGCTTCTTGATCCTCTTGGTATATGAAATTTCATAATCATTTTATCCTAAAACCATGCACAGTGTCAACAGCAAAGCACGAAACTGAAACGCTAAAATCCAAAATAGATTTGGGTTTAACACTCTGTGCCACTACAGCCCTCTGTTTGTATGGGCATGTGCTCAACTCCATCCAACCATGGAAAACAAAACCAGGAAAGAGGATGGAAGTCAGATCTTTCAGAGTTAAGTACTAGGAAAAAAATTACTGAAGAATAATAGGAAAAAAAAAAAAAGAACTAGAGTTTCTGAAAGCTTCTGTACACCAGGTACACACACTGTGGTAAAATTGTTGCCCTGGCCAGGAGAGCAGACTATCAAACTTTGAAACTGGCACATCCAGGTTTTAGCAGAACATTTCCATAGCTCCTTAAACACTTACTGAACAGATGCACATATCTGCCCTGCACAGTCTATCATCCCTCATCAATTAGGAGCACTTTCTGGAAAGAAGAACTTCAGAGCTACTTTGGTGTCTCATATCCTGCCTCATTTTTCACATGGATGTGTCACACACATCTGGCTCTGGAAGAAATGTCAGTTCATCCTTTGGGCCCACCACAAACCTGTTATTTCTTGATCCTCTTGGCACATGAACTGTGATGGCCAGAGAATCCTGGGAGAAGCTGAGCAGCCTGAGAGGAGACTCACTGAAGTCATTCCAGCACCTCAGAGTAGTCACACTGACCCAGGAGTTCTCCAGGATTACACTGCCCAGGAGCAGGTTGCTCTGAGGCTCAGCGAGAGTGTAAAAAGAAGGAGGTAGTTAAGCTGTGTGCAAAAATTATGTCTGTTAGTGTTGTCTCAGCTGCTTGACTTTTTATGGTCAGCTACCTCACCACTCATCTTTATGCTCTGGAATAAAACTATATAAACTTATTGCAATAGAAGTCCTACAAACATTTCGGCTTTTCCACGCTGAGTACCACTGGTCATTCTCAAGGATTCTGAATCTTAGGATTCAACAGGACAACGTACACTGAAAATACCGAGTTTTGCCAAGAGGAAATGGTTAAAATGCCCACAGACTCAGAAAGCTGAGTACAATCGTACCAAAGTCAGAAGTGGCTTCTACCTTCACCAAAGCTTCACTTCTCAGCTGTGTGCTGTTATTTTACCAAACCTTGCATGATGTGCTTCCATCAACTGATATTGCCAAACTTTGAGCCAACATACAATTTTGACAATATCCTGCTTCACTGGCATTGTGAGCATTGACATCCCACATAAAAAAACCCAGAGTAAAATCCAAATAACTGGAGGACCATCCCCACGGTGCATTTGGCAGCAGTGGGTAACAGCTCTAAAAATATTTCATTTAAAGTCTACTTAGATGGTTATGCAGGACACGGCAAACAAAATTCTGCTAATTTACTCAGATCATAACAATGCATTTGCTTCAACATCCAGATAAGTGAAAATATAATGAGCTACAACATTCCCCCGAGGTTATGCCCTTCAAATGATTGCCATGAGGTGAGAAGTGGAACAACACACTTCCTCTCTTACTTTGAATGAAAAACCTTTATATATGGTATTTTGCCAGGAACAGAAATTACTCCTGTTCTTTAAAGTCTGACCCAATGCAGCTGCTTTATTTAAAAAGAAGTTAACGATTGCTTTTTCATTCACTTCGATAGATCAAAAAGAATGTTATTCCAAAAATCAAAGCAATATAAGCAATTTTTATTCATTATTTGAAAGAAATTAAATGGAAAAAAGCCAGTTTGTTGGTCTTTTTAAATGCAACCAGCATACTTTCTTCATTAGCATTTTGCAATATTTGACAATACTTAGTAAAACAGCCTTAATATCACCTAAAATGTTGCAACTTACCCTTTATAAGTGTCGCCAAACTTTCCACAGTTCATTCTCCAAAGCCTACTGACTCATAGCAAAAAAGCCAGATTTATAGTTTTGTCCTAAAAGTGATTTAAACTAAAATCCCAAAAAGTTGCAAGTTTCCAGGCCTCCCTCTCATACTACATTAATTTAGGAAATATTTTAATGACAGGCAATCCTAAAAGAGAAGTAGAGATGCAGAATGTTCAACAGGCCAAGCTAAGAGTTCACACAGGAAAAAAATTAAGACTTTCAAACATCACACACTTAAAGAGACTCTATTAAAGGTATCATATTTCCTAACTTCTGCTTTCACAAAATACATTGTTTTCATTTGCTGACAGAGAAAATGTCAAGACGACACTTGAGTATCATTTCTGGCTACTAATTGCCAGTCCTTCTCTTGAAATTGTTTCAGAATTCATTTCATAACTAAATGAATCTTTATCTAAATAGAGATATGAGAAAGATTTAGTTTCATATATATATATATACACACAAAAATATAAGCTTAAAACCAGGACTTAGTTAGGATACTGACTCTCCAAGATGAGCTAGAATGTGAATAAACTGTTTTCTACAGTGTCAGGCTCTGTTTAATTTTAGAAAACTAATCTGTGCTTTTGTCTTTTTTTTTTCTTTTTTTACTGAAATAAATCAGCTGTGGCAACACTTTGCTCATAAAAGTACTTTCTAATGGAATACAGGTAGAAATGGCTTATAATCAGAATTTAAAATTCATCTCCTTTATTGCCATAAGCAGAGCTTTCTAATGCACGACAAAAATCCTGAGTAAATTAATTTTCCAAGTTCAGTGCACTAGTTAAACAACTAAAATGCAAAACTAATCCTGAGATCATCTGAAACAGCTTTAGTACATCTGCTCAATACTCCAGACTTCTCCTGAACAATTGCTAGTGGGCACTTAACTCATGAAAGCTGCTTTGGAAAATATCAGTGAGAAAATAACGAGTCCTACAAGAAATGCCTGGCAGAGAACACTTCCCAATCAAGCATAAAAAACCCCCTGCATTCCAAACCCAGCTTGTGATATTGTCACCTACCTCTAACAAAGAATAATTCCCCTAAGTATTTCAGCATTACAGAGATTCTGTTCTGTTCCCACCATAAGAAGACAGAATTAATGTAGTTTCATGATAAAGCCAAGGAGCACACCCAGCTCAGAGCAGCAGTTGGATATAGTATAACTTTTGTCCTTTTAAATATTTGAGTTTATACTTCTGCAGGGCCACTATTTTTCTATAAACTGATTCTCGATTAGGAGACTTATATTTACCTTTTCTAAGTAAATTTAATTGCTATCAAAAGTAGAGGAAATCTACAGTCTGTTCTGTAATTCTAGCTTGGTACTCTGAAAGTACTGCTGTCACTGGCATTATGCTACTTTAGGGGAAATGAAGCTCATCAGAAAACTAAGTACAAAGGCAGTTTTAGAAATACTGTGGATCTCCAAGGAGACAAGTCCAACTTACATTAACATAGACATATATATATATAAATAAAAATATATATAATCATATGAAATAATGATAAAAAAGTCTTTTCACCCACATATCAATTTTATGAGTTGGCCAGATAATGTCCTTTTGATAATGTTATTGAGGTTTTGGTTTCACTGCCACTAGTTCTGTTTTCTTGGCAAGCACCTCTACATTTATTTCAGTTATTAGCCATCATGTAATACAAATTCAGTAGTATTTAAAAGACCACTGTAATTTAGGCAGGTGTTCATCTCTGTTTTTCCTAAAGAAGGGTAATTTTATAATCACGAAATATTGTGGATGGCCACTGATAGTGAGGTAGAAAAACTGTAGCTTTTCCACAGGTGTATAAATAGAGGTACTTACAGCCGTTCGAGTTGTTTCAGATCCTGAAAAGCTCCACGTTCTATCACACTAATCTGATTTTCTTCCAAGTGTCTGCAATTCCAAAAATACCAGTTAATTTTAACATAACAAATAAGAGCTTCCCCGCTTCTCCTCACATGTTATAAAAATGCTTTTCACAGAAGTATCAGTAGCAGTTGTAACTGGAGATTATTTTAAAGCCTGGACAGAGCAGCACTGTTCCTCTTGGTCACTGACAGGATACTGCTCCAAAACTGCCTTCTAACTGCCAGATTTGTACACATTTTTGTTTCTAAACTTCTATAACCATAACCACTTTGCTCAGAAAGGTGTTGGTCTAGAGCCTGGTTGTTACATCCTCAGTATGTTCCTCTGCAACATAACTGAGATATTGGAGCCCACAAGAGGAGCTCGCTCAGTGGAGATGTATTTTTTGTGTCCAGGCTTTGTTCTGCACAGATTTCAGGCTTTCTCCAGAGCAAACTCTAGTAAGTAATCCAAAGGGATTCAACCTCCCCCAGAAACAGAGCCAAGGCAGCTCTGTGACACAACTTCAGGGTGTAAAACCACAAGGGACAAGTCCCAGCTTTCCACTGTGTCTGATCCTGCTTCACTCCACACCCTGAAACCAAGACAGGGATAAGTTATAAGCAAAGGAGACTGACTTCTCTTTGATTTACAGTGTGCAGGGGATGACTATTCATTTACACAGCAGAAATGCTCTGTGGGTGAAGTAGAAGCCAAGGAATAGATACCAACAGTCCCACTGAGTTGAGCTTTTCCCTCCCTCGGTGCTGCCTTCCAGCAAAGCCCCATTTCTGCCTCTGTAAGAGCACTTGGGTGCAGGGACTAAACATCTCTGAATGTTCCGTGTGGTTAAACGCACAGTAAGTGTGGGCTCAGTGAAGACCAGGGAAAAAGGACTCTCCTTGCCTGTTCTCAACAGTCACTCCTCTGCCCTCAATTCTCTGAGGATGCTCAGAGTTGTTCAACAGGAGAGCAGCACAGAGGACAGGCAGCAAGAGAGTGTTCCACACCTAAGACCACGTAGGAAGGTCAAAAAACAAAATTGAAAAAAATCAAAACACGTGAACCAAAAAGGTTGCTGAAAGGAGGGAGAGGAAAAACTGCCCAAGGAAAAAAGATGGAGCTATGAGGGATAAAAGGAAAAGATGCACAAAGGAGTATTTTCCATGTTGCTTGTTTGAGACCAGAAGATATTTTTTTCTGCCTGTTCTATGAGTTTGTTGCAGGTCACTTGTTTCTAGTCCTCATTCTGATGTCTGCAAACAGGACTAGGATACCTGTCTAGGATCACTGGGACAGGTTGCATGTTTCTGTGCTTCCCACCATACCCCCAACATACACGGGGGGGGGGGGGGGAAGAGAGACAACAGGGGTTTAGTAATGTAGAATTCCAGAATTATGAAGAAGAACTAAAAAAATTAAGAAAAATCTGAAGGATGTTTTATTCCCAATGAATTCTGTGGCAAACACCACACTACTGCAAGGCTGAACAGTATGTAAACGAGTTATGTAAACTTGTAATGAACATAGGACAAAAAAATTCATATAAAAAAAGGCAGTTGTACATTTTGCTTATTGTTAAGGGCATAAATGACTGCAGCAGCGTTAGACAATGTCTGACAGTATAAAAACCCAACAAAAACAAAACAACTATGGCATTAATATAGTATAGTTCATGTATTTTAATAGACTCCCAAAATGGTATTGACAGTTGGGATGGAAGCCAAGGAAATCTAAACAACTCCACTGCTAGAGATGAGAGAAACATCACAGGAACACAAAGTCTTCCAATACATTTGAAGTGTTTCCTTAGTATATGACAAGTTGTTCAAAAGCATTAAGGTAGCAGAAGAAATTACTTGCCTTTTCCTTCGCAGGACTTAAATAATTAATTGAATTATCACTAAATGACTGTGACAGTTCAACTGTTGCAGTTTTAAGGACTTATTTTAGAAGCTACTCAAAGAACAACTTTTCATTGCTAACTTAGTGGTGCTGTCTGAGATTCAGGTAAGAGAAAACAGGAAACCAGGAATGACAAATTCCTGTTTCCCCTTTCAATGTTCAAGGTCCATGTAGGAGCGTGGTTAAGCTCTTGACTGATACTTTGAGATCATGAGACAGCACTACCTAAAATATATGTATTGTTGCATATTAGACTAAAAAAAAAATTCACAGGTTTCCTTGTGTACAACTTCTACAGCTCTCCTTAATGAACTCCTGCAAAATCTTCTGCAAAAGTGCTATTAATGGCACTGTACCTTAAAGTGACCAAAATTTCAAAGTCCTATTTGCTAGTGTTTCAATATCATTTATTTGTGCATTAATGATTGTATAGTGGACGAAGTTTTTACCACAGGATTTTTTAAAAGCCAGTAGGAAAGAATTAAATAGCTCTGAAACTACACTCACTTTAACACAGAACTAAAATTTACTGTTTCACATCACAAACTGTTCCAGTTGCCTGGTTTAAAAGAACAACAACTGAATAACATGCAGAAATTACCACCATTTGCTCTCTAGAATTATGGACATCTCAGTACTAACACCCTAAAACAGTCTTGTAAAAGAAAAGACAAATTTTGTGTTATACTCACAAGACACGAAGGTTCTTCAGCCCTGTGAAGTCCGTCTTTGTGATTCTTGTGATATTGTTTTTTTCTAGATCACTGCAGAGGAAAAAGAAAGCAGCATTCAGGCACTATAACTGACACCCAAATTTCCATTAGCAGAAAGTATTTCAGTCACTGGAGCATCTCCCAGCTGCTCATATTGTACAAACGAACATTTCCATTAAAATCTCAAAAAGCAAGTCATCAATCCTGATGCATTTTGTCTCCTCTGACTATGTTGCTCTCATATGTGAAATTTCTTCCACTTGTATTTCTAGTTTTGATGCTCACTAAAAGCTTCTTTCTCCCTCAAAGACTACAATCTTGTAAGAAGCTGCATATATTCAATACCCAATTGGTACAATACAGCTGAAACAGGAGTCCTAGGCCCCTAAATTAAGATCAGACTCTGGGGTTATTCTAAACCAAGTGAGTCCAACCTGCTGCAGAAACTTAGACCACACAGAGCCTGAAGTGAGGACAAGTTAGTTCAGTGACCCTTAAGTGCAGTCCTACTCAGATGACTGGAATATTTACTAGTGTCAAAGGTCCCAGTTTGCCACTTTCTTTAACAGGATTAAAGCAGTATGTGATACATTAGAGTGGAGAAATAAGTGTTTAATAATATTGGATTCTACTTCTGATGGGTTTTGATAGGCATCAAAATAATACTAATAAAATCCTTAAGTCATAAAATGGTTTAAGAACAGATATTATAAGCTTTAAGAGTTTATGCATCTTAGCACAGGACATATTCCTATAATACAAGAAGCACATTCTCCTGTCAGGAAGACATTTTCTTTAGCACAGATGGAAAGTAAGGAGGGAAAGTTCCTACAATTTAGCTATATGAACAAGACAGTCAGTATCCTTATTTGCCTTATGTCAACTATATTTAAAAAAGATCCATTAAAAAAAAACCCCACAAAGCATCTATAGGGCACTTTCACTGCCTGCACCAACTATTCTCTTCATTTATCTTTATCCTTTCTATTAAATCATGTTTTTTCCTTTGAATCACTGCCTGCATTTTTCAGATTTTCCAGCTTAATTTCCTCTTCTGTTCTCAGTTCAGTCCTTCCACCCTGGTGCATCATTAACCACTCACTGGTGCCCCAGCACGAGCTGATTGCAGGGAGCACTGCAAACAATTACATCTCGAGTAAGCAACACATAAAATAGTCTGTGTTGGACTTGTATATTATTCCCCACCTGCTTTCCATGGCATTCCATCACAAGGTTTCCCTTGCCTTTATCTCAGAGAAGCTCTAGCAAAGCATGGCACTAAGTTGGTTGGAATTCTGAGGCAGGCAGGAGCCAGCCAAGGTGTACAGGGCAACACGGTGTCAGTGGCCACAGGTTCTTTGCATTTTGGTAAGACCTGATCACCATCTCAGCTTTACTCAGCTTGAACAAGTGCATGAAGAACTTCCATTCCTGGCACATACACAGCAATCTCTCCACCACACCACCCCTCCTGCCCAGCCCCAGACACCAATCCCACACATCAGCACTGTTCCTCTCTGCTTTCAGCCCCAAGGACACTCAACATTCTTCCCTTGGTGAAATCTGCAGCTCCCTAATCTGAAAAAAACTTTAACATTCCTTGATCAATACATATCTTGAGACTGCTTTTTCCTCTACTCCTGCAGACTGGCACAGTCTATACTGTACACATAACATCAATTCTATTACTCCTTTGCAAAGGTTATTATTTAAGTCAGTCTTCCATTTCTGTCAGTCAAATTACTTGCACAAAGCTCTAACTTTAGGAGAGCCATTCTTCATGAAGATCGCTTTCCTCAAACCATTTTGATTTAATTGCTGCCTCTGTTTTAAAAACAGTGTTTACCTTTTGAACATTTGCCCTTTCCAGCATGTTTTTCCTCGAGGCTTATCTGCCATTTGAAGAAAAACAGAGTAAAACTGTGATGAACTACTGTGTAAAACTTCCTCCTGCAGCTCACAGTAGGTCTAACCCTGGCTGCAGAGCAGCAGATTGCCACAGGTTACCCCATTACTCAATTAAACTTTGTGACTCTGAAGTTACTGAACCTATGCAGACATTAGTGGTTTACAGCTGGTATTTGTGGGCAACATAATATTTTATGTTTCCTTTATAAAGTTTGGCAGCTGATTATGGGCTCACTAGTGGGTTTCAAGTACAAAGAGCTAAACCTTAACGTGCAACCTTGGTTGGCTTTCAAACCCATCAGGGTTCAAAAGGACTGCTGGAACGAAAAGGATTTCTTGGAAAAGAAATCAGCTGAGTCAAAGATATGAGGAAAATAATACTGTAAAGGTGAATTCAACACATATCTACATCCAGATAAAATAATTCTACATAAAACTCTTATTGTGCAGAATTCCTGCGTTTTGGGTACAATGTGGGGCCAAGAAGATCTTGGATCTTACTCAACATATCTACCTCACTCCACACATACACAAGCCCAGCTACTACTCTGTCATTTCACATTCAAATAATATTGTCTCACCATCTGAGAACATCTAAGAAAACACCATTAAAGAACACAGGTCTCTTGTGGAGTGTCAGCAGCCAGGTTGGTATCACTCACTTAAAAAGAAATCAGAACTGTCATCTATACCAGCTCTAGTAAAACTCTTGGTATTAAGTCTCTCTTGCAAAACCATTTTCTAATTTTTTTGGTTTTTTTTTTTAGGATAAAACATGTGAAGGTCAATGCAGGTGTAGTGGCAGCTTCAAGAAAACAGATATGGAAAAAAAAATCATTTAAATGCGAATAGAAACATGAACTGGACTAGAACGGTACCAGACCTCATGAAAGTGAGTTCAGATGAACTATTAAAGGGAGTTTTACTCATAAACATTGTCCTGCTATGTTCTAATAGCAATTTAATCCAATATCCATATTTAATCCAAAATTCATATTTTGTAGATGCTGAAGACTCAGTCACACAATGTACACACTTACTATAAACAGGGATGCTTGGAGCAACTGGAGCAAATCCTGCTTCATCACAAGAACTCCTCTGAGTTGCTTCATCTTTTACTCTTCTCTAAAGACAATCAAGTGAATTTAAGACAGACTTTTAAAGCACCAACATTCTCTGGAGCATGCTAGGAGTGCACAGATTTCCTCTGCTACATGACTTAAATTTCAGTTGATGATGACTCTGCTCAGCCACTCAGCTCTTCCAAAACATCCAGACACTGATCTCAGCCCCCACCCTCATCCTTGGACTGGATAAAGTTTATGATTTGAGAAGTAAATCCACTTGCCACTTCACACTTTGTGCTTCAGCCTTCCAGATTCACATACCTTGGCAAATCCACACCCTCATCCTGGCCAGCTCCGAGCCTCTGCTCCTCTGACATACAAGATCAGAATTGAGTTTGACACCACATCACCTCCACAATGAACATCACAACTCTGACAGAAGAGCCAACAACAGCCATCAGATGCTGAAGTCTTGCACAATCTTCAGCTCAATAATTCAGTAGTTACATATAAATAAAAATGCCTTATACAAAATTCAAACCCTTTTATATACACGAGGATGCAAAGATTCAAACCAACACTACTAAGATGCAAAATTTCAAAGCAACACCAGTAATAGCGAGTTCCTATCACAGTCAGATGTCATTTTGCTACTTGCTTCTCTGAATATAGACTGCAAGATAATCTGAAGTTTGGGCCCTGATCAGAGTTGTGAATCTTGAACATGCCCAGGTGAATCCCTAACATAATTCCTCAGCTCTTCCAAGACTACAGGTTTGGAGTTTTCTAATCAACTGCCCATTTTGGAGTTAGCTCTGACTGCCCAGTTATGCTTTTCCAAGCACACACAAAAGCAAATTCAGAAGTCTTACTAAATCACATAAACCAGTTTTCTCTCTGTACAACTCTGTAATGGTTTGGTTTTGGAGTCCCTCATATATGGGCACTGTACAAGTTCACAGGTGAACAAAATACTCTCACTCTGATGTTCTTACTGCAAGTGGTGTATTTGCTTTGAACAAGCTTCTACTTTGTACATTTTTTAAGTTACAATTTTTTTTCTGGTCTGAAAAACCATCAGACTTCAGAGCTAACCCTGTTAGCTTTTGGTCAGAAAAGAGGCTGCTTAAATTTAGTTCCCCTTCGAGAAGAAACACAATTACTGCATTTGGTTAAAGCCATTTCTTGTCACTAAGTGTTCTAGAGCAACTAAGTTTTCCTCTATTTTCAGGGAGCCTTCAGGTGCCAATCTGGCAAACACAGTGGCATTCCTGACAACAAAACTGAACGTCTCTGATCCCCAGTAATTTCATGGCAGTAGCTGATTTTGCATTTCAATGACAAACACAAGTCCTAGACGGGCAGTATTTCAGAAAATATTTATTAATTCGTTTTTCTTTAACTTAAGAAGACATTACACAAAACAAAACTGCAGACAAAGTGAAAATATCTGAGGAGAAGGAGCACTAGACCTCATTGAAGTCCTTAGATATTTGATTGTTTATATTAATAAAGAACTCAATAAGAGCAGTAGAGAAACTGTATTTAAGGAAAAATTAACTGCCATAGACTTCAAAAGACAGCTCTTACCCAAGTTAAACAGCACTAAGATTCTTTCCTGTCCAACTGCTTCCCAAGTAAGGTAAATATTCATTTTGAGTCATAGAATCTCAAACAAAGTTTAGTTTCTGTTCCTGCTGAGTTTTCAAAGTGGCTGCCACACACCAGTTCAAAGCTACACACACAGGTCACATTTGGGACAAACAAATCAGCACAGAACCCAATGCTCTGAAAGGAATCTTGATTAAACCAACCCTCCCTGTAATCTACAGGGAAGGTGTACTTCTCTTCATCTCATTTTTGGTATTTTCCAAGAAGGAATGCATAAAATTTTTCTGTCACACATGACAATGCACTTGGGAATTAATAAAAACCTCTCTTGCCCCCTAAGAACCAACAGATCAGGATCCAACACACCATCTAGAACTCCCATCAAAACAAACCTCACCTGGAACACAAGTCATGGAACACTCAGAAGTTCATGAAGAACAGAAGAAAAACAATTTTCCAAGACAT